TGGGGCTTTATCTCAGGACCAGGAGATCATGACCCTCAGGTCATGATCAGTTGGCTTAACCAACTGAGCCACTTAGGTGCCCTAAGATTTTATTTTTAAGGAATCTCTACACCCAATGTGGGGCTCAAACTTCCAGCCCAGAGATCCAGAATCTCATGCTCCACTCACTAAGCCAGTCAGGCACCCATCTTTTTAACAACATACAGCAATATTATAAGGACTAAAACTCCATCTGAAGAATACTTTGTCACTAACCTTCAATTCTTCCAGCCATACCTTAATCTGAACCTGTGTCTACCATTAGGTTGAATAAGTCTAATCCTCTCTAAGTGACCAGGAATTTGTAACTTAGGAATTAAATTCCCCTTCCCTTACCTGATTCCTCCATCTACTGTAGCAACCATACATCTAGGGAAAGATGGTCTGTACTTCCTACTTAAGCTATTATAGGAAATCAAAGTCAAGGTCAGAGTTTCAACACCCCCCCCCCCAAACCAGCTGGTGAATCCTTGAGATTCTCTAAGTTCTAGCTCTTTCATCCAGACAGAACGAGTACAATCAAGAAAATCCTCAAAAACCTGAAACAGCTAATTTTTCTCTCTCCCACAGTTTCTTTACTGGTACACGCTGGCTAAGGGTTTCATACAACCTAAATACAACATTCTTCTTTAAATTGTCTTGTCACTGTTTGGTTACACTGTATCAAATACAACTAAGCATTGGCCCTATCCCTGTTTTTTGTCTCAGAGTATCCAATATAAACCACACGTTACTCAGAATACAACATTTAAAAAAAAATTAACAGTTTTATAAAAAGCAATACATATAGAAGTAAGGAAAGATTATAAAGTGCTTTCACATAAGGCCCAGTGATCCCCTTTCCAGAATACAAAAAAATACTTCTGATTATATCCAGGGCACTTTAACTTAAAAAGAAAAAAAAAAACACTTTAATTTTATTCTGCAAGGACCTTCTATATCTCTTAAATCTAATCCCAACTATTCATATATATTAGTTTATACTCTACATGGAGAAACCCCCAAGTTTTCTACTTACCAAGGCCACTACTGGTATAGGCACACCAAATATCTCTTCATCGACTGATCCGAAATGGTGGCTTCAAATAAAATTAATTAAAAAGTCAGTTATAGCTCTAAAAATATTAATTCTAAAATTTGGCAAATTGATTTTCACATAGGCCAAAAAATTATATAATGGACACACAAGCATCTCAAACAAATAATAAAATGCTTTCCCTACTAAAGTAAAATTTTGCTGGTTTCTGTATCCGATGTCCATTAGTACCTCGTATCCCTCACAGGAGGCAGGAGAGACAGTGGTATTGAAAGCAGGGAGGTCAGGAGCCCACTCCAACACATCTGAGCATAAAAATATATCATCAGATCCCAAGCTAAATGATACAACAATTAGTGACTGAAAAGGAAGGGAAAAAACCCTTACCTTAAAAGGGTCAAATAGCCCAGTTGCACTGGCATTTGAAAAATCCGTGGCAAATTCAGCACCTAAATTTACATTGAAAATAATATATTATCTGATGGTGTCAATCAACAGCTATCCCTGGTTTATAAATTAGACCTTTGGCCTCAAAATCATTCCAAAATGTCTATTTCCAGTACAAGGTGTCCAAAGGAATTTCCCACTTAATCTTTTTGAACTTTTAGAGTTTACAAAAGTACTTTCAAATACATTGTCACATCATGATCCCCAGCTTCAGGATGAGGAAAGGGGTTCAAAGATGCAACGTGATTGCCTAGAGTGACCCAGCTGCAAAGTGGCACATCTGGTATTGAGCTCATCTTACCACTTTTGAAATTAAGACTGTTCCTCCACCTTCTATTTGAGGGTTCATCACAATTTAAATATCACCCTCCTTGGGGTGCCCGGGTGGCTCACTCATTTGAGCATCCGACTTTGGCTCAGGTCATGATCTTGTGGTTTATCAGTTTGAGCCCCACATCAGGCTGGCTGCTGTCAGCACGGAACCTGCTTCTGATCCTCTGTCCCCCTCTCTCTCTGCATCTCCCCTGCTTGTGCTCTCTCTCTCTCTCAAGAATAAATAAAACATTAAAAAAATAAAAAATAAAAATCATCCTCTTACAAATTCAAAATTAAGGTAACTTTACTATTGCATGAAGTTACTGGGGTACCAAAAAGCAATGTATTTGGGATACAGGAAGGAAAAAAAGTAACCTCTATTTTTTTTAGGTGAATGATTTCTGTCATTTCTAGCAGTCAAATTTCAGTTACTTATTGTGGGGGAGGAGTGGAATCCTTGGGTGGCTCAGTTGGTAAAGCATCTGACTCTTGATTTCAGCTCAGGTCATGATCTCACGGTTTCTGAGTTTGAGCCTCACATCAGGCTCTGCAATGACAGTTCGGAGTTTGCTTGGGATTCTCTCTCTCCTTCTCTCTCTCTGCCCCTCCCCCGCTTGCTCACCCACAATAAACAAACATTAAAAAAATTTCAAATCATGGGAATCTACTCTCGAAGCCAAAACTGCACTGTATACACTGTATGTTAGCTAACTTGGCAATAAATTATTTAAAAAAAGTAAATAAGTAAAAAAAAATTTCAGTCACTTGAGACAGATCTATCAGATCATCTTTACCTTTTGTGAGCTTGTGTAACAACCAGGTATCAATAGTCCCAAAGCAGCAATTATCTTCTTCAACTGCCTTTTGCACCTTGAAAACACAATGGCACAAAACTGACTCAAAACAGTTAAATTATTGGGGCGCCTGGGTGGCTCAGTCAGTTAAGCGTCCGACTTCGGCTCAGGTCATGATCTCGCTGTCCGTGAGTTCG